CTGACTATATCCTGACTTGCCTCCTCCAGACCAACCGAGGTCTTTCCGGGGCAGGGACGGGCTCTGTCCGGGAGGGGGGAGCGGAGACGAGCCCCAGTTCGGCCCCTCCGCGCCGCGGCCTCCGGGGGGGCGCCCCGCCCCCGCCCAGGCGTGCCCGTTCAGCTGGCACGGTTGGCGCCCTCATCTCGGGGACTTCCTCCGCCTGGCGCGACTGCCCACCCCGTCCAGGGCAGCTTTCGGGGAGCTTTTCCCACCTGTGTGGCCCCCACCGTGCATCCCCGGCCTCCTGGGTCCTCCGACTCCGGCTGGCTGCCCGAGTTCCGTCGGGACCCCTTTCCCACGTTCCTCTCTCCTCGGGAACCGCACTCTTTGGGGATTGCCAGAGAAAGTTCTAGTTGGTGCCCAGCACGGCCCACCCTCAGGGGAGCAGCACAGCGGCCGGCAGCTTTCCCTTCAGGGTCAGGCTGGTGCAGGGTTGATCCTTCGCCCCACCGGCATCAGTTAACTGGGCCAAGCAAAGCGGAGCCTCCTGATTCAGGGGCAGTATAGCTCAGAGGGGCTTGGATGCCGTGGCAAGGCGGAAGGGGACGCTGAGGGATCTTGCTAACTGCAGGACAACCTTGTGCAATTTCAAGGGGTTGCACATTTTGTTCCTCTGGGTTTAATGTTCTGTTCCCCACTTTGGTGTGGTGGACATCCTTCGATGTTTGATGTGGACTTTGTGGACTTTTCTTCTTTCTTTGGGTCCTGGTTGATGCATTTCCACTACATCTTTCCTTCCAGGAGTAAAGGAATATCCCATCCCTTTCCATGGGCTTTCTCTGGTTATCAGATAGATTGCCTTTGCACACGGAAGCTTTTCTTTCACTCTCCTTAGACCTGCCAGTAGATTTCCTTCCCATACCTATGCCTAACTTAAAAACAAAAAAAAATCTTCACAACAGCCTCATAAGGTGGGCTATTTTTGCTAGGCTTGATGGATTTTGTTTGCAGAAAAACTGGAATTTGAACCTGGGTGCTGTTGGTTTTGGGGACGGTCTGTGATCCACTAACAGCAAACTGCAGAATAAGCAAGTGTGCAAGTGAAATTGTTCTCTGCACATGCTTCTGGTTTTGGGGGGTTTTTTTGGACAGTTCAAACAGATGCTTCCTACTTATGGACACGGTCATGGTGCAAATTTGTAACAGTGTAATTGCTTTAAAAGACTTGGGGCTTGATAGTTGCAGAGAGCATCTCCGCGGTCCATGTTCCTTCTCGCTGTTGTGTTACACGCGAGTATCTCGTCCGCTGCCTGCTTCTGTGGAGGGCGCGGCCCGATCCTGCTTGTCTTTGGGGTGCGTTCCCTTCTCTGAAGGCGGACACCTTGGAACTGCTTTAGCGGTTACACACACTGCTGCACGCTGCCTCTCTGTTGTGCCAGCGTGACCAACACGTTGTGTGGTGTGATCTTGAGATGCTGGGTGTTGATTCATTACAGGGCTGGAGGTTCCACGTTGTGCTCAGCTCTCTCCCTCTCAATTTAGTCTACAGTACAGCAATTAAGCATCGGTTGGTTCTCCTAGGCTGAGACAGAAAGTAAGTCAAGAAAAAAAGGCTTTGTTAGAGTAACTGGGATCCAGTGTGCGCGCGTGCGCGTGCGTGCAAGCTTTGCGGCTCCACAGAACTCTTTGCTGTGGTGAATTGATAGGGGAAAGGACGGGTTTTTCCACGCAACGCAAAACGGAAAGAAAGGATCCGATTGCTGCAAGGTATTGGCAAGGCTAGAATTTATTTTTATTTATTTATTAAATTTATATGGCCGCCCATCTCGAAATGCGTGGCTCTGGGAGCCTGGCTGTACTTTAAATCAGGATCAAGACATTATAACAAAATCATAATTAGCCAGAAATAGCAGCTGGGGAGGAACCAACCTATCTCAGCAGTTAATATAACCGTACTACAGCCTTCCCCGCACCTGCAGAATCTGCGGATCAGCTACTGAATGGGGATAGAGACCTATCAAGGATAATTCACAAACCTAAGGCGTTGTCTAGCGACCTTAATTATTTCTTCTTTTGGAAAATCATTTAAAACATGCTTGTTCGGCCAGGCATTATCAAGAGAGCAACTCTTCCAGGACCAGACCCTATTCAGACTTCCTTGTTACTGCTTTTTGGCAATAATGGCAGATTCTTATGCTAGGCAGAGGGTTAGGCTAGCCCAGTGTTGTCCAAACTTGGCCACTTTAAGATGAGTGGACTTCAACTCCCAGAATTCCCCAGCTGGCTTAAAGTGGCCAAGTTTGGACAACACTGGGCTAGATGATCTTTAAGGTACTTTTCAATCCGTACGTTCTATGAATCTGTAATTTAAAAAAAAAAAACCGGGCTAGTTTCCATTGGGTATATATTGTTTTTAAGAACTGTTGGCTTCATGGTATGAATTTATCTTTTTTATTAATAATATTATTCACATTCCGAATCAGTGTTCCTTCGGAATAATATTGCACCCTTCTCTGGGGCTTCGTAGCAGCGTCTGAACTGGTGGTCGCTGTAAGAGCGCCAACAAGGCATTTCTCTTCCTGCTGCCTAATTGGTTTTGTAGTTCTCCAAAGATCGCACAGACCTTAACTGAATTGATTCCAATGGAAACTACAAATTAATCTGCTCCTTATTTCCATGCGTTTTTCAATCGTGCTTTTTAAATGGGGCACTTTGAGGGCACCCCTTGACTTGTAGAATGTGCCCTCTTCCCTCAAATGTATTTATTTTATTTATTAATCAAATGTATATGGCCGCCCATCTCACGAAAAGTGACTCCTTTTAATTAATTTAATAAATTAAACTGGTTTGTGCCCTCCACCCTCCACAGCATCCAAGAATGTCTTTGCTGGCATTCAGACTAGCGGAAACCCCTAAGTGAAAATCTTAGCTGGCATCAAGAGCAATTCAATGCACCCTTTTACACACTCCAGAGGCAGAATTGTGTTCGTTTCAGGACTTGCTTAGTTTTTCAGCCCGCCTTGATCAAAATAATCATTTCTAGATTCACCCTAAACACAACCTACCTATCTATCTATCTATCTATCTATCTATCTATCTATCTATCTATCTATCTATCTATCTATCTATCTATCTAGTAAGAAAGAGTGAAGATGGCAGCTGCAATGATGCAGTCGAAGCTTTGCTTTTGAGGGGAGCTTCAACTGCAATGTCATGGAGGCCATCTTGACTTTTTTGACCCTATCCTACAGATATCCCAAATGGATTTCCTAAGGCTGGCCTGCAGCCCACTTCTGCCGTAAAGAATGTAATAGCTGGGCATTTGTAAACTGGGGACTTAATTACCTTAATATCAACATTTGTAATTCACTGACTTCAAATGTAAGAGAGTTCAGAGACCCATTTATTCATTCTGGGTGGGGCTCGGGACACTTGTCCCCAAATCCTGCTCTGTCAGCCCCACAGCTGACCTGGATCAGAATGACAGAACAGAGTGATATGCACCATTGGGGAGGCTTCCTGTTGAATCTCTGTATGAGAACTTGCTCTGATGTTGTCTCTGTTCAGCCAGCATTGCGTGGCAGGATGGAAGCCAAGCTGGGTGTTTGTTATTACACCATGGAGAGGCACAGCAGAACAGCTTTTTCTTGGGGAACAGAAACTCATGCAGGGTATAACGCTGGCACTCCTCTGTGAACAGGCATTTACTCCAACCTGCTGAAAAGGGAAACCTTGCAGAGTGAGGACCACGGTTATAATTTCCCACTCCAGATTTGCTTTTTCATTCTGGGTTGTAAGCAAATTCTTGGCCTCCCAGCCCGATAATGCACACCCCACACACACATCTGGATGCCTGCCTTCCAGTGTGCCCCCCCCCAAAAAAAACCTGCTTGTGGAGAATGTGCAACTCATAGCAACATGCAGTTAGGAAAAACCTTTTAAAACGTTTTAAAACCTTTTAAAACGTTTCCGTGCTTCTTCTCTTTCAGGCACAGGGGCGTCTGCAGGGTGGGGTCAAAAATGCAGCTGGCCTTACCCTGCAGACACAGCCCTGCTCAGAAACTGGACTGGGGCATTTTCAGAAAGAAGTTTGGAGCCTCAGGTTTTGATGGTGTGTTTCTGCCTGCATTCCCAGAGATACCCGAGCCTCTACAAATGCATTTTATCTTAATTTGATTGTGCTGAGTCTGTGCTGAAAGAGAGCCGTGCTGGACCAGATTCAGAGCTCATTTACTCCAGCATCCTATTTCCATCTCAGTGCTGCCACGATGCTCATAAATCAGATATGAGGAAGGCTAGAACTCTTCCTTTGCTGTTTCACATTCCCCACCCCCAGATGTTAGTGTCCAGAGGTACACTGCCTTGAAACATGGAGGTTCCATTTCGCTGTTGGGTTTAAGAGCCATTCATATAGTAATCCTCCAGGAAAGCTCTTGGGTTTACATGAGTATCTTTTACCATCCACGGTGGGTGCCCCTTGAAATCTTAACCTGGTGCCCTCCAGATGGTATCACCCTCCCAGCACATCTGGAGAACAGCAGATCGGAGAAGGCGAACTTAAAGCGTTTTTCTCCCCAGCCTTTTCTGCTGCCGGAGCATCCCGGATTTGACCTGACTCATATCCCAAGTGGGAGCCAAGCTACCCCATCCAAACTACAGTGTAATAAATCAAAAGCAAGGGAGCTGACTCAGCACCCTCCAGGCTGACAAGCTCAGGTGCCAATTTGGAAATGCCAGCTGGCCCCCTTTTCATTCAGGTCCCATTTCCTGAGCTGAGAGGAAGGTTGGATGGCGTGTAAGTCACAGCATCCCCCTGGCCTGCCAAGAAACCCGTTTCCAAGGCAATTTCTTTGCCCTGAGAGGAGAGATGCTGTTCCCAACACCAAGCTCGAGTTGGCATTCCCGGGTTGCCACGCTGTGCTTTTCATTCCAGCCGCTCAGATCAGCGATCCCTGCTCCCTTTGGATCTCCAGCCCGTTTCTGACCGCTCAGCCCCGGATTTCAGAGCGATGAACTCATAGGAGAAGAACACCCACCCGTCTTGGCCGAGCGCAGGGAGCAGTTGCAGCCAGCTGGAGACGTTTCACCAAGGCAGAGTTCACACAACCCGCTTACAGGCTCAGCCGGTGCATTTGCAGAATAAGCTAACAGCGGATAGGTTTGACTTCGGGTGGTTTTATTGTGGGGGCGTGTGGCGCCCACCCGCAGCCTTTTACCTTAGGTGAGGGTTCTGCGTCTTGTGTGAAACCGGCAAATGGGTTCCTTCCGTAACCAGGTTAAACCTGGGGTGTGAACCCGTCTCTCCACAGAAGCGGAATCAACACGTTGGAAGGTGTTGAGGGGGAAATTTTCCCCACCGCGTCCAACCAGCACGACCGGCAGTTAAACCCTTCAATTTTCCTCCAAGGCTCTAGGGCAGCTCTCTCCAACCAGGACTCTTTCCAAATCTGCTGGATCACGGTTCCCATCATCCACAGCCAGCCCGTTGCTTCGTTCGGTTTGCTTTTCCGTCTCCCCACGGGGGTCTAAATCTCTGCGGTGTTCCCACAGAGGACTTTCCTTCGGCCTGTCCCTCAACCTGCTTCTCCTTCTCTCCTGCTCTTCCCACCCTCCCTCGGTTCAGGTTCCACCATGTCTGAAGGGGCCGATTCGCAGCCGGTGGCTTTGGGGGCATCCCGTGTCGAGCTGCGCGTGTCCTGCTGGAGCCTTCCTGACAGAGAAGCCAACATTAAGCCTGACCCGTGTCTGATCATTCACTTGCTCAGTAATGGCCACTGGAATGAGGTATGGCTTTGAATAATAATAATAATAATAATAATAATAATAATAATAACAACAACAACAACTGAGTTGCCGAAATTATTCATTGGAAACTTTGCCAGAGTAGTGGGAAAACGACTGGGACCATCAGGTTGAGAAGGTTTTGGAAAATGAGAGGGTTAAGATCTTAGGGGACTTCAGGATCCAAACAGAGGCATCTTGTTCATGAAGCCTGATCTAGCAGCCATTGAAAGGAAGAAAGTCTGGTTCATTGATGTTGCTCTGACAGGTGACGCTAGAATCGAGGAAAAACAATGGAAAAAATTACGAACTGCAGGGACTTGCAGATCAAAGTTGAACGCTTAAGGAAAAAGAAATCTGCGGTTACACCTATTGTGATTGGAGCCCTCGGAACAATACCTGAAGGACTCCCTCGATATCTGGAAATATTGAATTTATCGGACCTAATTTTACAAAAAACCACCTCGCTTGGGACTGCTTGTATTCTTAGACGCTACCTGAAGAATTCTTAGGTCCTTGGTTAGGACTTGAATTATTAAGTTTCTACCAGACTGTGAATCTAATTGTACATTAACAATCCTCATCATCGTATCATTATCTTACAGTACTCTGTGCACATGGGCAAAGTAATTCAGAAACACAGAGCTGTAGAAAGCAGCAAAATCAGCCCTTAAAATAGTCTTTCCCCAAAGGAGCAACCGACTTAAAAACCAGGGTATTGTTTCAATTTGGCCTCGTACCTTCAGGTCTAAAATGTCAGTACTGTTTCAAGCACACAGGAACAGAAGATGCTGTCTTTTGAAAAGCAGAGGAAAAAAATAAAATGTCCTAGTATGAAATGGTAATTTATAATACGCTCATCTGCTGCTCTTATTTTTTTTTTTGAACTGCTGGGATTTAAAAAAAAAAACATATCACGGAATCTATTGGACAACATTTCATATTTTATTAATACATGACCATTTAATTTATTGTGGCACGGTTTTAAAATGTTCATGATGATAAAAAAATGAATGGGATTTTGGCAAGGGGCCGCCCCATGGTGGCATGATATCCCACCAACGTTTGATGGAAAACTAAAGAAAATAAGGGTTGCTTTTATTTATTGCTCCTGTAAAACTTTAGGGCTCCTATAAAGCTTAACCTTCCTGCAACCAGCAAGGGGGCAAAAAAGATCTATTCTAGTGATTATTCAGCCCTCAGAGCTGAAAAGTTTAAGAAATAAATTGCAACACCAGCAGGTTCAGATCCTCTCTTGCTTTGACCCTCATTGTTGGGTTTTACGTTGTTTATCACCATTCAGCTAATGACCAGTGTTTCT